GAAACATTATTTTAATACAGTTGGAGAAAAAATAGCGTAGCTTCAAGGTAAACTTTCAAATTACGTAACATTAAACATTCTCTATGACCAAAAATCGTTTAAAAACTGGCTGCATGCACTGTCTATGCTAAAAATACACACCTGCACTGTAGTATTTAACAAGCTATGCTTACTGAGTGCCTCTTCATTTTCTGGCGTGCAAACCAAACATTTACATCAGCCTCTTTTCTTCCAGAAACCAAATCTAAATTTGTATCTTTAATCCAGCACTACACTTACAACTACTATTGTAAGAATATTACATTGGTACCTATAAAATAAATGTTAGAATTTACAGGTGAAATCTTAGTCCACTGACTAAGATTTCACCTGTAAGCATAACAGTGAAACCTCCTACTAAATCCTGGAGGTTTTGTCCTCTAGGTGTCTATAGACACCTAGGTTTCTGCTATTGTACATGTCCAAAACTGCAGAAGCAACTCCATATTTACATCTACTCGTGTTTCAAACTGGAACCTAAAACAAGGCTTTTTCTCCCTTGTCCAGCACACTTCTGGATTGCACACAATCCTGCACACAAAACAATTGTTGCAGAATCTTTGACATGAACAACATTTAATTCAATTTAAACCCACATACAAAGAAGAAACAACATTCCTCTGTTGGAAGACCAGTCATTCTTTCTAGCACTCAACAAGACCACAGAAGCTCTTGCTTGAAATGTATAAACTTCTTTGCTTAGGATCATGGTCTATCTGCCAGTTATAATTTCTTCTGGAGCAAAAGCAGTCTCATCTCCCCACATAAACTTGTTCTCCCTAGTTCAAGAACACCAGTACAACAAATCAAGATCAAGGAGAACGTAACAGTATTCTCATTGTTACAACCATCAGCATTGGAGAGGAAACACCCATTATTGTCATAATTCATCTAGAGAGTACTTACTACAAAATACACAAACAAAACTTTCAGCAAGAACGGCAATGCAGTTACCCATTCACTGGTAAATGCTCCAGTATCATACTACTTCTTACTCTCACCTCTCTGGCCCAACTAATTTAAATTCTTTTTCCATGCAGTAGCACCACTTTCCCACAAGAAGGGTAAGCATTCCCACCTCAGAGAAGACAGTAGATCAGTGCCTGGGACACCCTCTAGGTTGTGGGAGACAAATTCAGCCACTTTAGACCAAGCAGAAAAACAAACTACATTCCTTACTTTCCTGGCAAGAAACTACTAAAACATTTCGAAAAAAGGAACTACCACAAACCACTGTATTATACAACACTCCATGTACTCTGATCACTAAAAATTCAATGAGCACAACTGTAAATGTAACATATAATAGTTCAGGGATCACAAATTGGTAGCCACTTTACTAAGTTACCATAGAGAAGCTCTTGGGCAACTTAAAGTAAGGCTTCACAGATGAAAATAACCCTCTCACTCCTAGTAGGACAACTTTCACCCAAACTCCAGAAGAAAACGCAAGGTTTCTAATCCTTATTGGAAATAAGAGTATCCTTTCAGCCCAGTCTTACATGTTTAAACTTAGACTCAGGATTAAACTTCAGACACAGGTCTCCTCCTCTGTGTGCCCTAGTGACTTCAGAGGGCTTCTGTTCACTGATCTGTTTTATGATGCTGTTGAGAAGTGCCTGGTGCTCCCCACGACTGCACAGAAAACAGACATTCAAGCTGGCGCTCTGGATTCTGCTCAAGTCCTTTCACATATCTGAATTTAGCTTCACCAGCACTTAACAGCTCACTAAGATACTTACCTGCTCTTCCCTCTTCTGTTTCCGAAGTTGGATTCCCTCCTCCTCTCTTCGTCTGCGCATTTCTTGAGGATTAAGTGCATTATTCTTGTAGCTTTTCATTCTGAAGTTATCTTTACCTGGGCTTGCCATGTTGTCTACCAAAAGAAGAAAAATTACTCCAAAATGCCAGACATGCCACCTCTTGTACTACAAAAATATCTACAGCAGCAGCTACATATTCCTGTAGCTGCTCGCAATACCCAGTTTACCAGCAAAAATCTCTGTGACAGAAATCAGAGAAAAATCTTTGCGTAGACAAACATTTCTAAACTGCAGATCATCTCAGGCATCAGAAGCTTCATTAAAGGGCACAAGCGACTGCAAAAAGAAGTTATGGGTCTTATGAGTAAACTAAGACACAAAAAGCAAGAACATTACATTGCTAAATTTTCATTCTGTCAGCAAGTACAGGAATTTGCTTCCTCCTGTCATAAAGTAGACATTAAATGTATTAAAAAATAAGGACAAATCCAAGAAGAAAACCTTCAGTAATTACTGCTTTATTTAATACCTGACTGCATTCTTGGTTTTCTTTGTTTGTTTGTTTTAAGGTGGCTATGTCGCAAACATCATACAGGATCTAAAGGTTATGCTGCATTTCCTTCCAAACTATGCAGAAAAACAAATTAGGGGTCAGTAACACCAAGATGGGTATACTCTTTTCTATTTTAAAATAACAGAATGATTGACCCATTCTAATTAACAGCTCTTCTGATGGATCAGAGGATTAGAATCTGCCTGTCATTTTAGGCATATTAGTTGTGAGAAGAAAAATGTGATAAAACATGATTCTGTCACTGAAATGATCAAACTGACTGAAAAAAAAGTTGTGAATAGCATGGTTCTAGTTTTTAAAGCTAAAACTGTAGCCTTCATCTGAAAAATAAGCATCAAAACTATGATTTAAGACTCTACATGAATTCTCACTTCTCTGAAATTCTTCCACATCTAGAGAACATACATAAGAATATCTGAACTACTCTTGAGTTGTGCACAATTTCCTACCAAATTCCACACTGGAGCCACTTGTTTTTTTTTTTTTTTTTTTTTGTAACAGCAGTGCCAATACTGCTGAGCAATAAACACAAGCTCCGAGAGGAAAACAGCCCACAGACTTAGGCTGACATCAACAAGACACTCTGAGGACTCAGGAGCCTGTTTCACCCTAACACATTTGTTTTACAGCCTCAGTAAACTACTGCCATCTCTGGACCAGACTGCTAAGTGTGCCACCGTGTTAAGTAATTTTCTAGTAATTGTCATGTAACTTTTGAGGCATGTTTAAGAAGATCATTTTTCCAGCAATAATACTGGCTTAAACTAGTCCTAGAACATCATCGCTTCTTAATCACTCACACCTTGCTAATTTAGTTCTGCCAATAAAACTGTCAGGCCAAGCAATGAACCAAACCAGTGCGGTGTGCATTCAAAGTAACCCAGTTCAGGTCACCAGCTCAATAGTTACACCAGCACAACTGGGAGGAAGCTCTCACCAAAGCTGTTTTCAAAAAGACAAGCTTATGAATTATAGCTTCATTCCCCCCACAAGGGTTTTGGTACAGACACCATAAGGGTAAAAAGACTGGCAGTCCCCATCTATTCAGGCTTCACGACTTCTGCATCGAGTTCCAAAGAAGCCTGCATGTCTGCTCTGCCAAACTACACTCGTTTTAACACTAAATCCTTCCACCCACCACATCCTGCACCTCGCCCACTTGTTGTGTCCAGACTAAGGCCTACCCTACTAACAGTCTGGGGTTTTTTTTCTCCCTGGCTGTGTCAGGCTCCCTACACACCGCGCCCCCTGCACCACCGCCCCCTCCCCAGCCCCAA